AGCAGGGAGTCTCGCGGTGCTGAGCAGAGCCCCCCGTCCCCCCTGGCAGCTCCCAGCGGGGCTCACCATGATGGCGATGTAGTGCCGGCAGTCGAAGGGCAGCGGGCCGTCCATGTGCATCAGGTAGTGCTGCGTCTTGAGGAAGCTGTCAAGGTACTGCGGGTGGTAGCCCATCTGCTGGGTCACCGCCTCCAGCCGCCCTCGGCTCGCCAGCACCTTCACGAAGAGGAACTGTGGGCGCTCAGGGTCACTGCCAGACATCTTCACTACCTGCAGGGAATGTGCTCAGCTTAGCTCTCCCCGGAGCAGCAGCCCACCACAGCCAAAGCCGGGCTCTGCGAGAGGCTGGGATCCCCCCTCCTGCCTTGGTGCTCCCAGAGGGACACCATCACGTCAGAAGCCACCACAGAGGGCAAGGGCTCGGGTTGGGGAGCTGGGCAGAGCACTGCTCAGTGGGGTCACTGCTAGCGGGAGGACAGGCTGCAAGACACACAGGTTGGTCTCTGCCTGGTGAGCGGAAGCAAAGAGCAAATAAAGAGTGATTTTTCCTTGCAGTCTTAGAGGGGAATGCAAGGCCGGAGAAGGAGAAACACGACAGTTGAGAGACCTACCAGAACAGAGCGGCCCCTCAGCCTTACCACCAGACCCCTGCACCGCCAGCACCAAGCCCTCCTGCCCAGCACCGGGACAGGCTGAGAGCTGTGGAGCCAGCTGAGCTGCTCCTGGGCTCCTGCCCAGCAAGACAAGGGACAAGTGATGTCCTGGCACCCGCCGCGCAGTTGGGAGCACGTGAAGGGGCTCAGAGGTCTTCCCGCGCCCTGCCCAAGGAGACAGCGTGGGAGCGGGTCCTGCAGCACACAGCTGCAGAGCAACTGGGTGAGGGGGGTCCACACATCCCGGGCAGCACCCGCCCCAGTCCCACACTGGTGCCCCAGCCGAGCGCAGCCCTGAGCCACACTGCCCGAGTCCCTCTCGAGAGGGTGGTGGGAGCAGAGGGCAGGAATGTGCAGAAGGCGCCCGGGCAGCTGCTGCGCCCCAACGTCCCTGTCGCCACGTCTCCCACCCGACAGCGGGATCTGCACCCGCAGCCTGCCGGCACCAAAGCACAGGCACAGCAGGTGCTGGCCCTTGTCACACAGAAAGTCACAGCTCCCGCTCCCAAGCCCAGGCAGCGCCCTCAGATGCAGAGGGTGTACCTCCCATCCCAGGCTCGAACCAAAATCTCCCCTGGGAGCAACTGGGCCCGCTGACATGGCTGTCATCCGCCTCCTACCCACCTCTGCGGTGCAGTCACCCAAAGGCTGGTGACCGAGGCACAGCAGCAAACCAGGAGCATATCTGCAAACCAGCCCCTGCCCCACCACAACCCTGGGTTGCCACTGTCGGCCAGGACACCCGCACAGCCCTTGGAGCCCCAGCCCAGAACCCCGATGCCCCATGCACCTCGCCTTGCCAGCTACACCGAGCCTTAACTTCTGCAGCAGCTCAGTGTGCCGCCACGAGCAACCCGGAGGGTCAGGGCAGTGCCAGCAGCAACGACGAAGCTGTGGGGCATGAAGCGGAGCACCCTGGGGCGAGGGGTGGCAGAGCAGGGCCGAGCCACGCAGCAGCATGGAGCAGTCGCACCCGTACAGGCAGAGCGGGAAGCAGCTCGGACTATTATCTACTGTCCTGCGCTTCTGGTGAACACACCGTTGCCCAGGTGTCAAGAAATTTACTCGATGCCATTTGGAGCTTCCTCTTTGCTTTTGGCCAAACTGGTCCAAAAAAACCCCCAAACACCAAGTTAAAATGGTGAGGGATGAAGAGCACCAGCTTCTCTGTCGCACGGGAGAAGGTGCAAACCAGAAGTGCGCTGTGAAAGTCCTCTGCAAAGTCCCTCTGCTCAGGGAGGTGAGCTGCCCTGAGGACACCCATGGGGCTACAGCTGCCGGTCTTCTTCTGGCGGGCAGAGATGGAGGAGCCAAGGCCCTTCTGCTCGCCCTGGGGGAAGGTGGTCCCCAGCGAGGCACCCTGCGAGCAGCCCGCGCCTCAGCCTCCAGGGCCACCGGCTCTTCTCGCTCTGCTTGTCCAGGTGATGATGGAGCAAGCAACCAGGCAGACACGGGCTGGAAGGGGAGGAGGAAGGAAGGAAGGGAAGGATGAAGGCAGGTGCAGGGCAGCTCCCCACCTCAGCGCTTGTCCCCTGCCCGGGCTCTCCTGCCTGCTCCCCATGGCACCAGCTCAGCCCACGGTCTCTCCTGCTGGCACCACAAGCCGTGTCCCCCCAGCCTGTCGCACTGCTCCCAGTACCACCTTCCTCACCCCCCCCAGCCCCAACCC